TCACAGCTCACAGCAACCTCCAACTCCTGAGCTCAAGCGAGTCTGCTGCCCCAGCCTCCCAAGTAGCTGGGACCACAGGTGCCCGCCACAATGCCCAGCTATTCTTTGGTTGCAGCCGTCATTGTTGTTTGGCCGGTCCGGGCTGGATTCCAACCCACCACTTTAGGTGTATGTGGCTGGCGCCTTAGCCACTTGAGCCACAGGCGCTGAGCCACCACAATTCTTTTAATTGGAGGGAAAATATCTGCCAAAAATAAGACCTATCTCATTTTTCCCTATCTCATTCTTTTCTATTTGTGTCTTGAGTTTTTTTTTCTTCTTTTTATAAAATAAACTTTCGTTGTAGGTTCACAGCAAAATTAAACAGATGGCACAAGTCTTGAACTTCTAAGCTCAAGGGATCCTCCTGCCTTGGCCTCCAAGAGTGCTAGGATTACAGGTGTGAGCCACCACACCCAGCTCAAACAATTATTCTATTTATTTATGTATTTGAGACAGAGTCTCACTTTGTTGCCCTCGGTAGAGTGCTATGGCATCATAGCTCACAGCAACCTCAAACTCTCGGGTTCAAGCCATTCTCTTGCCTCAGCCTCCCACGTAGTTGGGACTACAGGTACCTGCCACAACACCTGTAATCCTAGCACTCTGAGAGAATGAGGTGTGTGTATTGCTTGAGCTCACAAGCTGACATCAGCTTGAGCAAAAGTGAGATCCCATTCCTACTAAAAATAGAAAAACTGAGACAGAAGGATCACTTGAGCCCAAATTGGAGGTTGCTGTGAGCTATGATGCCATAGCACTCTATCCAGGTTGACAGCTTGAGACTCTGTCAAAAAAAAGAAAAGAAAAAAAAAAGAGGGAATTTACCTAACAAATGCAATTAGTGTAACCTAATTCTTTGTACCCCCAATAAATCCCAAACAATAAATAAATATTTGTTTTAATATTTTAAAAAATGAAACTGTTGCTGCTCAATATTTATGTCCATCAAAGACATGTACAAGAACACTCCTAGCAGTTGTATTAGGAAGGGCCAGCCCTGGAAACAACATGAATGTCCATCAACTGGTGCATATTTCAACAAATTATGGTGTATCTTTAAAATGGAACATGACTCAGTAGCAAAAAGTAACACAGACGCCTACAACATGTGTGATTCTCAGACCTAGTGTTAGAAAGGAAGCAGGAAGCTGGACACAAAATACATACAGTGGTGATCTCAGTCAGAATAGTGTGCACCTATGAGGGTGGGTTGGGAGGACTGTCTGGAAAGGGAGGTTCCTGCGGTATTTGGCTATATTCTATGTCTTGATCGGGATGGTAGTTATGATGGATTTATATGCACACATACATACATGTGCAAATGAGCTGAGTTTCAACCTAAGGATCTGTGTACTTTACTGTATGTGTATCACACACCAAGAAAAATTAAAAGGCAAAATACTGATGCCTAGGCCCCAGTCCATGGTGCCTGACTTAATCCATCTGGGCCATGGCCTGGATGAATGGATTTTTTTTTTTTTTCAAATAACTTCATTTTTATTTTATTTATTTATTTATTTTTCAGTTTTTGGCCGGGAGCTGAGATTGAACCCGCCACCTCTGGCATATGGAGCCAGAGCCCCACCCTTTTGAGCCACAGGTGCTGCCCAAGGATGAATGGATTTTTAAAAAGCCTTTCAGGGAATTCTAACCGGCAGCAGGGGTGAGCCCTCCTCTTACTGCTCTAAACCCTGGCTCCCTGCCCCTGGCTTTGGCTCCAGCAGGATGACCTCATTTCAAAGGGACAGGCTAGGCAGTGGGGAAGCCTGTGGATTCTGCAATCAGAGCCTAGTTCTATCACTTTTACTAATCTCTTGTGATCTGGGGCAAGAAACATTGATTTCTCTAAATTTCAGGGAGGTTTGTTTGTTGTCTATAACATCTGGCTGGTGGTTATACTTACATCTCCTGGGATATACTTTATACATAATAGGGTGGGAGTGGTAAAAATGGGGGTCTTTATTAAGGTAATCTTTTTTTTTTTTTTTTGAGACAAGAGTGTCACTTTGTTGTCCTTAGTAGAGTACCATAGTGTCATAGCTCACAGCAAGTTCAAAAATTCTTAGGCTCAAGCAATCAATCCTCTTGCTTCAGCCTCCCAAGTAGTTGGGACTGTAAGTGCCCGCCACAACACCCGGTTATGTTTTGGAGATGGGGTCTTGCTATTGCTCAGGCTGGTCTCCAACTCCTGAGCTCAGGGGATCACCTCGGCCTCTCAAAGAGCTGGGATTATAGGCGTGAGCCATGATACCAGGTCCTAAATTTGACTCAGAGGACATTTCCAAGCCATATTCAGATTTGGGCTTGCTAAGATAAGGGATAGGCAAGGCAGAGCTTTTGAGAGTTTTGTCTTTTTGTAGACAATCTCACTCTGTCACCATTGGTAGAGCGCTGTGACATCATAGCTCAGCTCACAGCAACCTCAAACTCTTGGGCTCAAGTGATTCTCTTGCCTCAGTCCCCTGAGTAGCTGGGACTACAGGAGCCCATCCCAATGCCCAGCTATTTTTTAAGAGACTGGGACTCACTCTTGGTTGGGCTGGTCTCAAACCTGTGAGATCAGGCAATCTACCCGCCTCAGCCTCCCAGAGTGCTAGGATTACAGGCATGAGCCACTGAGCCAGGCCTTTTTTTTTTTTTTATTTTTAGTAGAGACAGGGTATTGCTCTTGCTCAGGCTGGCCTGGAACTCCTGAGCTCAAGTGATCCTCCTGCCTCAGCCTCCCAGAGTGTAGGATTACAGCAATGAGCCACTACCTCTGGTCTCATCTTAACCACTTTTAAGTTACAGTTCAGAAGTGTTAAGTAGGGCAGTGGCTCAAGGAGTAGGGTGCCAGTCCCATATGCCAGAGGTGGTGGGTTCAAACCTGGCCCCCGCCAAAAACTGCAAAAAAAAAAAAA